TGATTGGCACACCTCAAAAGCAAATAGTATTATGCGTGTTTGTATCACGTGATTACCTTTTTTGAAGTGCCAAAGATTGAAGCAGAGATTTATGCTTGTCAAATTTCCAATAAAGAACAGAATTTGTACTGTTCTTTGAATGAAAGTATATAAAAAAGGAAGATACAAGTACAAGAAAAGTTACATATGTAATTCAATTACATATATTTAGGTAGCGCTTTGATATCTTGTGAACGTTTTGTTCAATGTTAATTACTGAATTGTTAAACAACTTATGCTAAAACTGCTTACCTTTATCCATATAACGGCACTCTACTGTTCATTTCAGAAACAAATCAACATACTTACATTGTAAAATACAGTTTACTCTTTCATTAATAAAGATCTCTATCAATTGTACATAATCAACATGAAAATGTAAATACTTCTTTCATCAAGATCCTTAATATGAACCACGACGTGATCTTACATGGAAAGCTTTTCTTCTCTCAAGCTTCCAGCTGACAAAACAAAGCTTATGTCTTAATAGCATTGTATACGTTGACACTGAATTACATATATATTTTTAACATTCAGCATAAAGTTTCAAGAAGTAAATCATTCCTGCAACAACTAAAATCATGTGCAGAAAAGAATAACACCAGAAATTCTTTTCCAAAGAATCATCATGAAAAGAGTCGATTGTGAAGAACTTTTTTTATTGGAATCGAACGACATGGTAAATTATTTCGTCGTTGGGATTTGAAGATCGAAATCACTTGAAATTTCAGCACAGTAATATTGTAACAGGATCAACACAAACATTTTTTTCTCTAACTAATTGATTACTGAGCGAGAAGTATTTTTGACTATAATGAGCCTTCCTCTTCTGAGCCGGATGATGTACATATTCTCTCTCTGTTAAAAGTTTGAAGTTAAAGCTATTCATAAAATATCCACAATGAGATTGAGGAAAAACAACCGGTAGAGTTTTTTTTCTCTATCAAACTCAGCCGAGAGAGAGAGAGAAGGACTTATAATTATGATACACCTTTTTATCCACAATCTAGTGATATCTGTATCCTCTCTCAGATATGAGATCGAAGTTTGAAAGAATTCCTAAATTTTTACTTGAGTTTATACTGTAAATATGAGAAGTCAATTCTCATATCACTGTACTTTATTTTGAATCTAGCAGTGTCACCCTAATTCTTTGGTTAGTTTTTATTTGAATCAGAATGGTATAAAAATGAAAGTCTATTTGTTATTTTTGGCAAAGGTAGCACGTTCTGTATGTGCCAAATGAATCATTTGTATAAACTGCGCAAAAATTACTTGCTGTACATATATTTTCTTCTCTTTTTTGCAAAACACACGATGCACCTGCACAATGTACACTTGAGGAACTGTTTAGTTTACGCAAACATTTTAATAAACAGAATACTGAGATCAAACGAAATAGAATCAACAGATGTCGTTGACGATGCTATAGCAAGTACATACTTTTTGAGATCTGTGAAGTGTGAGTGTGCTAGTCTCCTGTTCAATCATACTGATAATCGAACTCGTATCCACACTCCATACCTATCCAATACTAATTATCAACAGGGCGGCATTTTCGTGTAAATTGTTTCTATTTTCTTTTCTTGTCAACAGTATTGGTGCTTCAAATTGGCTCTTGATAAGTGAGAGGCAAATATATTCACCCGTACTGATTTACTACAAGTTTTTTTCTTTTTTCATTCTGTCTTCTATCGAACATCAGAAGTAATCAAGCGAACGGCAAACACAACTTCATACTTGTCATTGAATATAATAACCAGCAGGCTCTTGTAATTCAACTTTCAATATATTGTATTTTATTCAGAACTTGTTATAGTGTGGCTTCTACAGGTAAAGTTATAAAAAGTTGAAAGAAAAATGTTCGGAATTATAAGCTCTTACAAATCCTGGACTACGTACTTTTTCAAAGTTTTGGTGTCTGGAATAAATTAGAAAGTGCATGCACTCAGCAAATGAGTAACGACGAAGACGAAGTCTTTAGTTCAAAAGGAGTCAAATTTTCGACATTTGGCTTCTTCAACTTTTTGCCACAATATCGTTTCATATTTCATGAAGCTCTAAAAAATGACAAAAAGCCTGAAATAAGTCAGGCCGAATTGGATAACCTGATGAAGGGTGACTGGCAGTGATGAATATTCAATCCACAAAAAATATAACATCAATCTATTAGCTACTGTTCGACTTATTGAATATAGTAATTGTTTGAGTACAATAGCAATTTAAGTCATTGTTCAATTCCGATCACAAACTATCAGTAAACAATAAGACAAGATTTTGTTGTTCGAGATCACAGTTTGACAATGAAAGTAAAGTTCCTTTTTCAATCATATGTCATAGAAATAAATATACGTCAAAAGAGAATAAGCATAATTCTCAACCTGTTTCCAAGTTTTTGTCATGATGATCAAATTGTAGGACATTTTAAGATCTCACAGTAGAAATGAACATTTCAATGAACAATTTTCTTATTTTAAATGGAACTACAAAGTTCAACTATTTAACGAATAGAAATAAATTTGACATCGAATGAGCATAAAATGGTTTCTAGTTTTCAATCAACTACAATTGAGTGTGCTAGAAGGAAAGGAGGACCCACACCCATATCCACGCTAGTAATCGGTCATACGATAAGACGTTGAATAAGATAATTTAAATTTTCGAGATATTCCCATCTATTTGAAATAGTACTTGTAGATCGACTGTTCACTCCATGCTCATACATTCTTATAGATCACCGAAACATGGACACATCTGACACATCACCACCTGCGCATCGTCAAGGTCAAGCTAATACTACCAATCGAAAATCATCGTCAATCGATCGTGGATTCCTTAGCAGTTTAAGGAGGTATGCATCTGTAACAAGGCTCATTCATATTTCTTGATTTATGTATATCGATTCAGACGGAGTCAAAAAATATTCAAGACGAATGATACATTTTTACATCAACGTAGTCCGTAAGTAATCTAAATTTTTGATGAACTTTGCCTCCTTCTTTTTTTTGTACTCACACTTTTGTATATGAGTGGATATCAATTTTTTGGTATAATTGACGTGAAACAAAATGAAATTAGATCTAAATAATTTTTATGCAGTGCATTTTATTACACTCTATGCCTATGTTATACAATAAAAGTTTCCCAAAACTTCATCAGATATTAGCTGAAATTCAACTTACTTCAACATAAATGCATCATAAAAAAATGTTCCTGTACTTTACATCATATTTTCTTAATTTTTTCCAAAGAAAAAGCGATACAAATCTAGATTTTTAACTGACCACACAACTCTAAGTAATGTAATTTCAATAAATATTTGAACCAGAAAAATGGAGCCATTCACGAGTTATTTACACTGTAGTCTTCAAAATATATTTTTACAAAGTGAGTGAATATCGATTTTATAGTAAAAGATTGTTTTTTTTTTATACAGACAAAAGAATCTTAAGGCGAAATAATCTTTCATCAGTTGTGTGCCTTAGAAGAAAATTGAAATAGTGTCCTTCTACATAAAAATCACAAAATGTATTTCATCGGATGTCATGGGTGAAAGATCATAGAAAAATAAGAATACGGGTGAATAAGATATGTATTCCGACCGAACATAACGGGTGGACCGAAAGTTTTGAGACAAAATGTTTGTCTATTTTTCACCACCTCGAAAGTATTCTAGATAAATGGAAAAAGGTAGATAAGAATCCGAATTTAATGCTCTTTCCGAATATGAGTTCAGAAATTCTGTGTCTATTTTTATAAGGGAGAAGCAAGCAAATCTTTGAAAGGCATAAAAAAATAGTCTGGACAAAGTGGTTGAGTCGACGCTTCTGAGCAATGTTTGCTTTATTTTTGGTCTATATAAAAGTATTGTAGACGAATGAAAACTACAGGCTATGATCAGAATTTTTTGCTCTTTCTGAATATGGACTCAAAATTTTTTTATTTGTTTTTGTACGAGAGTAGTGAGACAATCTTTGAACACACCAGAAAACTGGATTGGTTAATGAACACATCGGCATTTGCTTCTCCCGTGAGTCCTGTGTGAAGATGCTAAAGACGGTTGAATATGTTAGTTTTGTAGAGCAGACAGTCCTCTACAAAATGTGATATCGAATTCCAATATAGCTTTTATACAAGTAAAACTATAAGCAGTTTCTGAGAAGCTATTTCTACCTGAGATGGATTCTGGTTAACAAGTCAATTTTTCAAAAACGAAGGCAATTGGAAAACGAAAATTTAGATGCCTTGTAATAAAATAAAATAAACTAAAATAGCACATTTTGTAGGGCCGAATTTGCTCTACAATCTGATATATGAACCAAAGTTACAAAATTGAGTTTCGAATTGAAACAGTGAAAAATGCAAAAAAGTACAAAAACTATTTTTGTCCAAACTATCTTTTAAAGCAATTCAATGATTCCCTCACTATTTCCAAACAAAAATAGATACAGAATTTCTGAACTCATATTTGAAAAGAGTATTAAATTCTGATCCTTATCCATCTTTTCGCATTCATCTAGAATACTTGCGAGGTGATGAAAAATGGGCAAACATTTTGTCTCAAAACTTTCGATTCACCCGTTAGCACGTCCCACAAATTGCACTATTCATTATTTTATATTTCTTTTCCTTCGATGTTTCAACAATTTCGTTTTTTACTACATCTTACTAAAATATACGATTTTTTTATAGTGCAGGGCTCATAAATCTGCGATAGTATGAGCTAAAGAGTTGGAATTTTTTTTTATAGCAGTGGAACCTTCAGTGACCTGTAACCTATAAAGAAATTGTTAAAAATCGATTAACGGAAATAAAAGTTATAAGTCAATACAGCTAAAATTTCAATTGCATCGAAAAGTTGAAACTCACTCCTATACATACGTAGTGCTTCCTTTTCTTCCACTTTCCATGCAATCTACGATTTTATCTCGGACGATTGATTTACTAGGGATGTCATCGATATGCGAGATCTATCTCATCAGCAGATAGTAGAAGCTACACGACGAAAAGTTCCTATGAATATATCACTTCAAAAACGAATTATCATTAATATAAGTGGAGTTCGTTTTGAGACATTCAAATCTACTCTTGAAGTCTATCCAAATACGTTGTTAGGTAATGCAAAACGACGTAAATATTATTATGATAATGTTCTTCATGAATATTTCTTTAATCGTCATCGAGGATGTTTTGAAGCTATTCTCTATTATTATCAATCAAATGGTCGATTACGTCGACCGAATTCAGTACCACTTGATACATTTCTTGAAGAAATCACATTTTTTGATTTGAGTCAAGATGCTCTTGCTGAAGTACTCAAAGATGAAAATTTGAAAGAAGTTGAAAAAACTCAATTACCTCGAAATCGTTGTCGTCGGTATATTTGGGCCACCATAGAATATCCAGAATTTTCATTCATCGCCAAGTTGTTTAATATTCTTTCATTAATTATTATTCTTGTCTCTACGATTACTTTGGCAATCGAATCATTGCCACAATATTCACATTTATCGGAAGATGCATGTACAAAAGAATATATGCAGCATAAAATTGGAACGAACAATGACTCGATGATTCTTAGCAGCGTTCAATCGAGCGAACACATTTGTCTTTCCTATTTTTCATCACCATTTCATCGAATTCAGATAATTTGTATTGCATTTTTTACTCTTGAACTGATTCTACGTCTACTCAGCACACCATCATTGTCTAAACACTTCAAGAGTTTTATGAATTGGATTGATATAATTGCTGTCGTTCCNCCTACGAAAGTCTGTAAAAATTTGACCTTTTTTTAAAAATTTATATATATTCTGAAAGAGGAAACTTCGCTGCATCTTTCTATGATAAAAACTCGACTTCGATTACTTTACCAAAAAATGGATTTTCTAAGGGGGGGGGGGGGGCCCCCCTTAAGCAAAGAACAATTTCGTTCTTAGTAGAATTAGAGAAATGGAAAATTTCTTAAGAAGAATTCGAAGAGCGTGATAGATTTTTCTTACTTTTGTCAAACGATTTAGGATATATATCTCCCATCTAAGTCTAGTTGGTATATCATCCCTTGATACTTGAAGTGTTTAACAAAATGAAGTGTTTCACCTTTGTATTTCAGTTTAGGAAATAATAGTACTATAATATCACAGACAAGTAAAGCTTTGCTTTTATTATTATTTATTGGAAGTAAGTAATCATTTTCGTATGTAGCTAATATAATTGTTGCCATTTCAGCTTGCTTTTCTAATTAGGATGATAGGCACTTTATAGAGATTAGTCGAGATTATTTTCTTTTTAGAATTCCACATCCAAAGTCTATATTTTGTGATGCGATGATCTCGAGAACGGCACAGCGCGTGATATTCGTTGAGGCGTCACTAAAGATGTTAAGATCTCCATATGGTACACATTTTAGCCAATTTTCTGTTGATGTTTCGTTCGCCGACAGTAAAGTCGGGATATGATAAATCATATATGGATGTCGTTTTCATTGCGTCAATATAACGAAGCGAACCTTGGTGCTGCTCTTACCGAAGATTAACTATCCCTAACACTAATGATAATCCATCGGTGTACAGTTGCTAACATCCTTTTTGTTAATTATCGGAACTCTATGAAAGCTACTAATGTTGTATTTTGAAAAGCATGCCAACCATTATTTTTTGAATAACTCTTCACTATTGATAGGTATCGAGTTCGGGGTTTAGCCATTCGATAGAGCGTCACGGGTAGCGTCTGGTTATATGCGAGCCATTGGAATTGGAAAAGTTTTCTATACATCTTTGCAAGCGAATATCTTTTTCGATACATTACTCCTATAGTTTTCATAGCAACATACACTCAAATTATACCTGAATGCAATCCGACTCTTGCTCTACCCACTATACAATTTTCACATCATTTGATTTTTTCGTTAAAGAGTTACAGTGTTTCTAAGATATCGAATAACACGATTTTTTTAATGCTGACTGAACGTAAATTATACATGAAAATACATGTTTTCCGCGGTATTGAATCTACTCGCACCATCGTTTTCAATTATAAAAGCTTCAAAAACATATAGTCATATGATTTGACTATTCTCTTTTGTAGCTATAAATAAAGGAACAAGCCGTCGATCGTGTTTCTTCTCGAAGAGTCGAAACAAAAGAAAATTGACATATGTAGGGTGTGAGTGTGGGTGGGTGTTGTTTTTATTACTCACTCGATCCACCTGCATGCATAACCACACTTCACACCCACGACAAATTCTAATAGTTCGAGAAATGTTTTAGTATATGACTGAATAAACAATTTCAACATGTGAGTCATACATTGTTAAATCTAATCCCTTTCTTATTGCGCCACTCGTATTGAAAGTCGTTTTCAATTTATAAGTTGTATTTGTAGCACAATAGACCGTCTGACACATGAGTAAGCTAGTCTATTTATGAAAGATTTAGAAAAGATTATGTGATAAATTGAAATTTATTATTAAAATAAGCACTATAATGTTATAAATTGTACCAAATTAAATGTCTCTATCTGTATTTCAATATTATCTGAAAAACAGTTATAAATATTGCAACAACTGTAGTTTTGTAGTAAGAACTTCAACGCTATCATCATCATTCTTTGGTAAGGAAATGTTGGACACATAGTTTCTCAACACTGGAACAATCACACATTTAGGTTAGGATATTGCTGAAAATATTTTTGACCAATAAAGTTGTTCAGTGTCTAAAAGCTAGATATCACAAATTTGAATTTTCAAATACATAAAATCCAATATAGTATCATCCGTACAAAACTAGACTGAGCATGAAAACGAAATCTAGGATCGATGGGTATTTTCTGATATTCTATTTTTTTCGACGTTTGTTCCTTGAACCATTTTGATCAGCAATATACGGTGTATTTGGTTAACTCAAAAGTTTGGAAGAATCTAGACTACTGAATATAACTAAACTATAGTCAGTCCAATTTATGATGGTGACTCATATCACACAAAAGACAACTCATGCTTCATAAAATATTCTAGTCTCCAAGAATATTTTCCAAAAACATGCTGTTTATTTATTTTTTCTCACCATACCTATGATAACTCTGTTAGAAGAAGGATCATTCAAAACTTCTAAATACACAGATACGTCTTATTGAAAGACCTCTCATAATGTTCTTACGCCAATAAAATAAACTATAAAAGAGTAGTCTATTTTTTTACCATTATAAATTTATTTTTATGAATCGTTTGCGAAATGCAATTTTCTCTGGTTTCATATTAGAGAAACCCGCCAACACTTATTAAATGAAACATAATTTCAATTCGCAATACTATATTGAATACGATACTTATGCAGTACCATATAGCTATTTTTTTTTCTTCTTAGTTGCTTATCGAACCATGTTGAGATTCAAAGATGTGGGAAGATACAACCTATTGTTGACCACAAAACGAGTTATTCTTCGATTATGTGTCAAATGTTTACCAGGCGATAGAAACGACCATTTTGTGACAATTCAAGGTGTAGCTTTCGGTTTGACCGTTCGCTTGTCTGTCAATATAGTGGAAAGCAGTGTGTCAACAGATTTGACTAGTCAAAAGCAAGCACATATTAGTTGTATATTAAAAAAAAGTACGTAATGCTAGTAAAACCAATGATATAACATTAGTTTTGATATACCCTGTACCCATGGTTCCTTTCTCAGTATGTATTGAAGAAAACTTTTCTTCAAGTTTTTCTAATAATATTTTTCTATAGCATATTGCAGAAGGATAAGATTAAACTTGATAGTGATTTATTGAAACTAAATACTAGAATCACAGTCGTCACATTAATTAAAATATAAAATATATTTGGAAATAGTGTTGTTTAGGATATTTTGGCTTTCTCAGACGTATGAAATAACAGTTCTTTAAGTCCATGTTATTAACATGAATGGAAGTGCAGTAGACTAGTACAACCTTCAAAAACAAATACTTACTTACATTGAGATTTTCTTGGTATATAAATCTTTGACAACAGGATATCAACAAAAAATTATTAAAAGACTATATCATCCCTATAATTCGTAAACCGATTTGCAAAAAAGGAAAAATGTCCACGATTACACTCATATGCAAGTACAAAGTATGGAGTAAAAGTGTTGTTATTTGTTAGATTGTTCCGCAGAAATCTGTCTCAAATATGAAATAAATCTCCATAGTTTGCGGTGAAAGCATCTAGAATGAAAGTTTGCCTCTAATATCACTTTTGTCATATACACAAACTTCATAAACGCGTCGGTTTTTACCGGTCTGGAATTAATTTTTAGACTGGTTCGAATTCTGAACGAAATTATAATAGAAAGCTAATAAAATAAAAATAAGTTTTTAAACTTGAGAACAATAATTAATGTAGTTTGTGATTATTCGTAAAAAAACATAAATTTTCATATAAATCAAAATTGATTGTTTTTTTAAAATTATATATTACATCATGTGTTTCCTTTTTTTTATCGTTCTCTAAAATTGACTCATAATTGTATTTAATTTTTTCCATACAATAAAACCAGATTATTATCATTGATTATATTATTCATTGAATAAATCCACTGATTTGGTTAAAATCAAAAATTGATGAGACGAATGATAATAAATGAAACAAATAATTATTTCATATTAGTTACTATCAAAATGTCAAATATTATTATACATATATACCAACCGATAATTTGAATAGATGATTCTTATTCGTATAAAAATTAATTTTGAGAATTTTTTTATATGATTAATTAATTATTGTTGTCAACTATCGAAAAAAAAGTATTAGTGATTTATTAGAATTCTGATGCTTTTCTCCAATTTTATAACTAAATTAACTTTTCATACAGAAATCAGAAAAAATGTGTTTCTTGAAAACATTAGTTATTGCTGTCTCTTATAATGTAAAATCTAGCAAAAATTTGAGAAGTAACAAGCACTGCAAGTCTAATGAATTCATTGTACTACGTATTTCTTTTTTTACTAGTATATATTAAATTATGTAATTATGTTGCTAGTATTCGGTCAGAAGAAACGTAGTCGACCATAACTATCTGTTTTCTCCTTTTTCTTCTGCTTTTTTTACATGTCTATATTCATTCGTTTCTTATTATGTTTAGTCTATGTAAACAACTGGTATTATTTTTGTAAATAAATGATATGTGACATATCATTTATTCTATATTTTCAAAAAATTCTCAACTAGATAGACCATTCTAGGGAAAATATAGACTTACAACAAGAAAGACTTAATAGAAGAAACTGAAATGCTTCTCCTATCTTTTTCATTGTTTTTATAATTCATACTACATGTATATACCATCATATAAGATATTTCCTCACTTTTTGATGATTCCCATGTGATTCGGACCGGAAAAAAACCGCCGGTTTTTTCGGGAAGTAGTATATCGTATTATAATATATTGAAACTGTTGAATATTTTAAGTCTGATAAAACCGTCAAAATTTCGTGAAATTCGGTCACCTCTGATAGTGTTTACGCGTCGGTGCCGCCTGTACTAGCCATAAAGTTCAAATTGGTCCCGTTGCTGAGATCAATTTTTTAATATAGAGGGCGCTAGAAATATTGTTATGACCGAAAATTTTTTGTCTCCATAATTTTGAATTTTTTTTAACAGTGAATTCGAATTAGGGCAGGAAATGCTCTCTGCAAGAATTTAGATCTGGAACCGGAAGTTGATGGTGCCACTGGCAGTAGTAAGAGGAAACGTGCGACATGGGTTCTCACTTCAAATAATAAAAATGAAATCGAACAATATCAATTTACATTCATTTCAGGTAT